ATTTAAAAAAGAAACAGTGCACATAGTGATTTACACATTATAAGCCCAAAATATTAAAATTAATAGCTCTATATTGGCTCTATCAACTAAGTTGAAAAGTAGATTTAAGGTCAGGAGGTAAGTAAGTTACATTGATATTTTATCAAAACAAACGAATTGCAACCTCGTATATAGTTATGTGAAAATATTCAACCCATACATGTAACAGTTCTCAAGATATAAGATGTGACAGGCGGACGAACAAACAGAGATGAATGCCGGACGCCTTATATTTTTTCAGAATCTCTCTGCTCTGTACGAAAGACGAATAGAGCCACATAAAAAAATATTTTTATCTCGTAATTACGAGATATTTTCTCGTAATTACGAGATAATTATCTCGTTATTACGAGAAAAGATCTCGTAATTACGAGAAAAAATCTCGTTATTACGAGATAATTATCTCGTAATTACGAGAAAAGATCTCGTAATTACGACAAAGATCTCGTTATTACGAGATCCTTTCTCGTAATAACGAGAAAAGATCTCGTTATAACGAGTTAATTATCTCGTGATTACGAGAAAAGATCTCGTAATAACGAGAAAAGATCTCGTAATAACGAGTTAATTATCTCGTAATTACGAGAAAAGATCTCGTTATTACGAGTTAATCATCTCGTTATAACGAGAAAAGATCTCGTAATAACGAGAAAAGATCTCGTTATAACGAGTTAATTATCTCGTTATTACGAGAAAAGATCTCGTTATTACGAGTTAATTTTCTCGTTATAACGAGAAAAGATCTCGTAATTACGAGTTAATCATCTCGTTATAACGAGAAAAGATCTCGTAATTACGAGATGATTATAAATATATATTTATGCACGTATTTGGAATTTTTTCTTTTAAGAAACGTGCGACAGGGACGAAGTTATTAAATTGTGCTTCGATCTGGGATTAAGTAACATTGAGATCCTGCAATGTTTATTAGGCTGTACAGGCATATCAAAAAGTGTCAGGACATTAAGAGAAAAATGACCATTCTTCTGATATTTCTTTTAATTATTTTTATGAATTCCGTAGGTTCATCCATTTTCACATTAAAGAGAGAGTAGAACAATGAAACGCACCATTTTTTATAGATCTTTTCTCGTAATAACGAGATCTTTCTCCGGTAATTGCAGATAATTAACTCGTAATAAGGAGATCTTTTCTCGTTATAACGATATAATTAACTCGTAATAGCGAGATCTTTTCTCTATATTACGAGATCTTTTCTCGTAATAATCCATACTATTAACTGTAATAACTCGAGTATCTTCTTGTAATTACGAGATAATTAACTCGTAATAACGAGATCTTTTCTCGTTATTACGAATATCTTTTCTGTAATAACGAGATAACTAACTCGTTATAACGAGATTTTTTCTTGTTATTACGAGATCTTTTCTGGTTATTACGAGATCTTTTATCGTAATAACGAGATGATTAACTCGTAATAACGAGATCTTTTCTCGTAATTACGATATAATTAACTCGTTATAACGAGATCTTTTCTCGTTATTACGAGTATTTTTCTTGTAATAACGAGATAACTAACTCGTTATAACGAGATCTTTTCTTGTTATTACGAGATCTTTTTTATCGTTATTACGAGATCTTTTCTCGTATAAACGCAATAAAATTAACTGTAATTACGAGATCTTTTCTCGTTATAACGAGACAATTAACTCGTAATAACGAGATCTTTTCTCGTAATTACGAGATCTTTTCTTGTTATAACGAGACAATTAACTCGTAATAACGAGATCTTTTCTCGTAATTACAAGATAATTTACTCCGTAATTACGAGAAAATATCTTGTAATTACGAGATAAAAATATTTTTTTCATGTGGCCCTATTCGTCTTTTGTAGCTCTGCAGGCTATACAAAAGATTAAAAAAACCCGAAATATAAAATTGTTCTACGACATACTCCTTATAACCTAATAAAACATAAAGGTAATTTATATTGTTTTACAGATACCACCAAAAATAGGCCCAGGAATAAATCAACTCTCCCTACTACATCATCAAGAATTTGGTGAGGTAGACCAACACCCAAAACAAATTCGAATTTCAACAATGGAACAAAGGGATATCAATTTTAGAGGCAAAACGGACTCAAATGGTTTTGGATTTGCTTTAAAAACAAGTATCTTCGTTTTCTGTGGAATATTTATCAATTTGGCGGTTGCACATTGTTACTTGTGTGTGTTTAAAAAAATGAAATAAAATAAAAAATTAGACATTCGCCTTTTACCAGATGTAAGACATAAACCAAAATCCTAACGTTAATCAATGGATTGCCCTGCAAAGCATTGACAACTATGTTATTAACTTTTATTAAATACTATATTGCTGACAGTTATGATTTATCAGATACGATGTGTGCTGTAGTTTACAAATTTATTTTTGGTCGATATTAAATTTTTATACCGACATGCTCCACACTTGATACAATTGACACTTGACAATTAGACATACATCTTCAAGTTTTGTGATTTCAAAAGTTTATCGCGTAGTCCAGCACACCATCTCAAAATTTGCACCACTCACTGGTGCACCTTGGTACAAAACCAGCAAATATATCATGTTAGAAGTTTCACATGTGAACCCGGTTGCCATGGAGACGGAGCCCCTCCGGCTCATGTACCATTTGTCAAACCCTGACTACTATTACATGTATTATAAAAATATGGACTCTTTTGGTGTTGAATATGGTTTGTTATTCACCAGAAAAATATTCATTTTGATCGAGGCGAAGCATAGAGCACGGAATATGGATATTTTTTGGTGAATAACAAACCATATTCAATACCAAAAGAGTCCATAATTGTTTTATTATATAGTCCAAATTTGAATAAAAAAGACATTGAAGGCTGAATGACGACACCATTTTCATTAACGAACTTCCATATAAGTCGAAAAAAAAATGTCCAGATCACAGTTTATCACCTCCGTGTTTTCCTTCTCGAGTTTCGCTGTGTAAGACGTCCAAAATGTTTTTTAAAAATCCTGCAATAGGTTTGTATATTATTTTTCCTGCTGGGATACGTAGCTCGCTGCGGCCGTTGCAACCATTGTTTACAACGTTGTTTGTGAGGTGTTGATTATGACTTCACAATGCTGCTGCACGCGCAATGACCCATCGGTGAATACGGCCTCAAATCAGTGAATATTTATACAATTATGGACTTCAGTGTAGGTCGATATTGACCGTTCACTGAAAGTCCATAATAGTTATATTATATAATCACTCAGTTTGAATGCACTGACACAGTCCTAACTGAACGGACTTGGCTGTCATTACGTCACAATGGTTAAATCCATGCTTTTTTTTTATTATGACGTCACGTACTACGTAACCTTTGTGCAACCTAACGGCGAAAAAATCTTCATGTCTCCCGAACATTCATGCAATAAATTGTTTATTATACCAAATCACAATGCAGGAAATACGAAGAAAGATCCAATGAATAAAATAAACATTTAATAAGAACAAATGAATATGAAATACTTATTCACAAAGCATCCGTTAGATAACGGGTCCGTTAACGTCACCGCTAATGTTTCCGTAAAATTATTTGGTATTCTCGAAGCACCCGTTATTTAACGCATCCGTTAACGTTTGCGTTAACTCTTCCGCTACCGGAGAAAATTAACGGACACGTTAGAGTATCCGGTAAACGGGCACCTTGTTGTCGACCGGCATTTAGAGTGGTTTAACTTACACTTTACTTGTTGTTTTGACTAAATATTTCATTCATTGATTTTTGTTTGTATCGGAAATACGTTGACATGTCTAAATGAATGTAAACTTTAAGTTTTTCCGTGGGATAAAAACGAAATTGACAGAATCAAAGCGTGTTGTTTTGCTGGGGAATGTTCCCTTTGTCTTGCTGATAGCCACACTCAATTTACATCATGTATGTAATATCTATTCATTATGAATACAAATGGAAATTGGCGACATAAACATGATCAACCAATCCCGTTTTAGAGCGGGTTGTATGGAGGGTCAAAAAGATCATAAACTCAAGTACATGACAGTGTAATTAAGTATGCAATGTATCAAAATAATCTGTTCAAAGATATCTACTCTTTTCAAAAAAATTATATTTTCCATTCTAAATGTTGACACGCTTTATTTTAAAACTTGATTTCAATAATTAATGAATTTGTTGAATTGACATGCGTAAAAATGCGTAAAAATGAAAATGCTGCTTTCTTTATTCAAATGAAAAAAATGGAACATGTATCAAAAATTGCACCAATGCACCGAACATTGTAAAACAGCAACCAGTTACATGAATTTATTGCATCTAATATTTTTTTTCTAAAGAATTGCTCTCTTCGGTTTAATTATGATATCATTCACTCATTTCGTGTGAGCAACATATGTCATTAATTTCTTCGAGCAATAAATCTAGTCAATTGCATTCATGAGTCCAACGATGAAAATAAATCCATTGACTATTCCTATGATGGTTGATAAGAATTGAATTGCTATTAGCAATTATATGAAGCAACAGAATAAAAATACAGTCAAATTTCATTATCTCGAACTCTGTGGAACAGAGAAATACTTCGATATAACCGAAGATTCGATATATCCAGGATTTGAGGAATAAACTAGTTGGACGTCTAAATTGCTTCAATATAACCATGGTATTCTAGATATTTCAGATACACGTACCAAAACTCAACTGTACATGCATTTGTAATGTTTCTCAGTTTAAAAAAAAAAGAAATGGAAAGGATATAGATAACTATAATTATAATCACTCGGTTGTTGCCAAAAACTTGTTCCTCAAAGGTTATTATGACGTCATTAAACATGTACAAAGTACGTCATATTGTTCTTTCTATTATGGCGTTATTACAAGCAATTCTAGAAGAAAACAAAATTCGGAAGAATAGAATCTTTAGGGTATGCCCTTGCAATAAAAAGATAGGCTAAATCCATTGGATGCGACAATATGACGACGCGGAAAAAAATCGCTATTTCCCGCTATCGAATGACAAGACACTGTTTGATGGATGTCATTGACATTGTAAGAAAGGATGTGTCACATGAGACAAAAAGATCTCATGTCCTTACACCTGAAGAACAAACTTTTGCTGCTTTGAGGTATTATGCGACTGGTTCTTTCCAGCAAGTGATTGGGGACATTTTAGGACTCAGTCAACCCAGCGTTTCCAGAGCAGTAAAGAATGTTTCTAATGCACTGGCAAGTTTTGCTGGACAAATTATTCAATTCCCGACGGATTGCCGAAAACTTCAAACTGTTAAAGAAGGTTTTATGGAGAAATTTGGATTTCCAAATGTAATCGGATGTGTGGACGGGTCATTTATTCCCATTAAGGCTCCACCATCACGCGAGGACGTGTATGTATGTCGCAAGGGTTTCCATGCGCTAAACGTACAAGGGATTTGCGACAGTCAGAAAAAATTTACAAATTTGCTCGATAAATTCCCTGGCTCGGCGCACGATGCCTTCATATGGAGTCAGTGTGGTGTACAAACGTTCCTTACTCGAAACACGCAGGTTGGATTTTTACTTGGAGATCAGGCCTATCCTCTGAGACCATATCTGCTTACTCCTTTACGAGATCCACGTAACCCAGCCGAGGAGGCTTATAACCGGCAGCATCAAAAAACAAGGAAAGTGATTGAGGATACTTTTGGCAGATGGAAATGCAGATGGCTTATGCTGCATAAATTTGCTAGGTTACATTTTACTTAAAATATAAAAAAAAATTGTTCAGTACAGAAATTTGAAGAAGCTGTCCGGTTGATCATTCACTAATTACACTAACGGTCTGTCGTATTTTTGAGCTCGTTCTTAGGGCGCTTAAAGCACAGGGACTCGTTAAAAAATATTTATAAAAAAAAAACAATATAGTGTATCGTTTTTTTGTTATTTTTTCATAAATATTTTTCACACGCCAGGAGCAAGTTAAAGTAACACAATGAGTCAAAATCATGTGTTTCTTTATGATATATGTAGCATACAGAGAAATACTTTTCAATATTATGAGTATATAGTTAAAATATTGCAATTAAAAACTGCACCGTAAAGCAAGAAAAGACCACAATATAAGTGCCGGAAAACATAGGTTGTATCTACCGTTTCATTGTTTTCGCGTAAAGGTCACGCCACTTTTATTTTTAGCTGAAACTTGTAAACAACAATAAACTGTAGCATGCAAAGGTGAGAAATATGTTCTAACAACTTTTAAAATTGATTGCATCAAAAGTTTTGGTCTATTCCTAGCCTTCCTTCGTTCCTGGATACTTGAGATCATGGTAACTATGTTACTTATTCAACTTTTCTACGCACGCGTACAAGAGGGAGGAAGAAGTAAAGAAATATTTTCGTTATGGGGCATACTGAAATTTATTTTACTTTTATTTTTCTCCAAAAAAATAAACCTAATACTAGTACTTTTAGGAATTGAACAAAGTTTACTCGGGTCATGCCAAAATTCTACGTTTACTTTGTCAAATTTCCCCTTTGTGCGTCACGGTGTCTCTTTAACAAAATTTCGCGTAAAAAACAAGTATATCTCTACGAAAGCCTATTAGGATCACTCTAAAGAGAAAAAAAATTTAAAAGGCGTTATAACGCCTTTTGAAAAGGCGTAATAACGCGAAATAGGCGTTATAACGCCTTTCTAAAAGGCGTTAGTAGTATAAAGCGCCTAGATGGGGGGTTCAACTGAGTGCACTTTTTATGCAAATGAGGTCAAAAATGGTGGATTCTGATTGGCTAGGGGGATAGGCGGGTCAAGGGAGTGCAGCCCCTGGGGGGATAGCCGGTTCAACTGAGTGCAGCCCCTGGGGGGGATAGCCGGGTCAAGCGAGTGCAGCCCCTGGGGGGATAGCCGGGTCAGGGGAGTGCAGCCCCTGGGGGGGATAGGTGGGTCAAGAGAGTGCAGATAAGGGGGTCTGTGGGGGATAGCCGGGTCAATTCAGTACATATAATCCCCCTAAATACGGGGGTCTGTTTACACTGTGTTTACATTATACACTACGCTGCTACTACGATTTTGTCAGCGACTCAAGAATTTAATTATAACGTCACGCTTCACAGTCTACCCAGCCTAGCCTAATCGGTTCAAACTGATTTCCTCAAAACAATAAAAACCTGGATTTTTTACTGAAAACAATTACAAAAACACACATGGTTTATATACCTTTACTGTAAGGGCCCTGTGCATCAATACGTTTTACCTGCGTTTTTATACCTGTTGCATCACCTGTAAGGACCGTGTGCAAAAAATTAGGGTCGTGTGCAAAAATAGGTTGGACTTAATTACCTTTTGATCGTACTATGTACGATTTTGTACACAGTCTAGTCAGCGAGCTACCTATGCATTATTACATCATACACTTGTAAAATTAAAGTTTCATTTTCACTTTTGTTTCTAAGAAGTGAACTTAGATTTTCAGAAAATGTAGGACTATCTTTTGTTTTTCCTCTCTTTTACTATGATGATTTTCCTGCTGTAAAGCTTTTCTTGTATAAAGCTCAATTTCTCTATGACCACGGAAATAAGCATCCTGATGTATTCTTGTCATGTGAATGTAGAGAGCGTGTTCATTTTTGAAATCTCCTTTCTGACAGACATATTCCACAGGTAAGTTTGTCTTATTTTTGTTTACATTTCCTATTAAGGTCATCTTTGCATTTATTCATAATTTATATGTAAAGTTCTATTTTGAATGTAAATGCTGTATTTATCATCATTACATGTGATTTACAGTTGTAAAACCTGCATGTAACTCAGAGTACATTTAATATTTGTATGATGGGTCATTCTATGATTGAATTTCAATCAGAAAAATATTCACTTAATTTTGGTAAAATACATGGTATCTTTTACATTTCTGTTCCTTTTGTCTGTAAATTATTGCTTTACTTACATTGTAAAATGAGGTTAAATGTGTATCACTGAATTGTATGATTTTTTCAGGATCAGCTGAGATGTTATTTCACTGGATTATTTAATGGATAGGCTTATTGGGCATAAAGTTGGATATCTCTGGTAAGTTTGTCTTGTTTTTTTAATTGTTTATATTTCCTATGAAGGTCATCTTTACATTTAATCATAATTTATATGTAAAGTTCTATTTTGAATGTAAATGCTGTATTTATCATCATTTCATGTGATTTACAGTTGTAAAACCTGCATGTAACTCAGAGTACATTTAATATTTGTATGATGGGTCATTCTATGATTGAATTTCAATCAGAAAAATATTCACTTAATTTTGGTAAAATACATGGTATCTTTTACATTTCTGTCCCTTTTGTCTGTAAATTATTGCTTTACTTACATTGTAAAATGAGGTTAAATGTGTATCACTGAGTTTTATGATTTTTTCAGGATCAGCTGAGATGTTATTTCACTGGATTATTTAATGGATAGGCTTATTAGGCATATAGTTGGATATCTCTGGTAAGTTTGTCTTTTTTTTTAATTGTTTACATTCCCTATGAAGGTCATCTTTGCATTTAAGCATGATTATATGGTTAATTTAATTACTGTGTAATACTTATGTGATCTGTTGCCTCTAACTTACATTCATATAAACACACCCTTATTTAACCTAAAATATATTAACACATGATTAAGGGATCTTCAGAATATTAATAAGTCCTTTTGTATAAATCATTATATAATTTCACAATTCATTATGTATGTTACCCATGGAATTCAGACTTACTAAATGGTGATCAAAGAGATATTACTTAGGAATCTAATAAGAGAAAAGGAGGGATTTACAAAAGATTAATTCTAAGTCATTTACTTTTTTTTTTTTATTCTAAATATGTGTGATATATGGTATACATATCATTTTCACTTTTGTTTCTTAGTAATAGGCTTTCCAAAAAATGAAGGACTACATGTTGTACTTTGATAATGCTAAAAAATAAAATATGTATTTTTCTGTATGCATTACTGATAGCTATTAAACCAGAATTGAATCTGCTGTTAATAAAAAGTCTTTTAGTGTCTAAATATTTAATCTGATAATCATTTTATTTGTGATATCAATATAGTAATTTTGCTTTTTTTTTATTATCTATAAATAACATGATGAACTTTTCTCATCTGGAGTTAATGTTATTAAAAAAAAAAAAATTTTTTTTTGAGATTAAAAACAAATATATTCATGAACTTTTTTTTGGCATTGTACATGTTTGTTCAGGTTTTAAACATGTATTGTTTCACACAGTACTCTGTCATATTAACAAAATGCTTTTATTTCTACAGTCATCAACATGGAATGTATGACTTCATCTTTATACAGTCGGGTTCGGGTTCGGCGGTCATGGCGAATCTCGGCAAGATTTTACCCCCAGTGAAAAAGGCTTGTAATCCACCGTGTAGGTCTTTTAAAGTTGTTTCACATTGTTTATGATTGTGATTATGTTATCACTCACCTATATGTTTAATGTCAGCTATGCTAAATAGCCCATTTCTGTGTAATTTGAGATAATGTTTTGTCATGTGCTTAAAGTATGGCCTGCTATTCATGTCATCATTTAAAGTCTATCCTAAATAAATCTGTCTTAAAAAATACATTTTACAAATGACATTTAATATGATTGATTAGAGTATAGGAATCCATATATATAAGAGATATTATTTTGCATTACATTTATAAGAGGCATTGTCTCATGTAATTTAAATCATAATAACAAAATGGATTTTATTTTCTGCAGTCCTCAACCTGGAAGATATGTTTTGTTCCTAACCATCTATAATCCATTCTCTATGAAGTGAAGCCTGGCTGCTGGTCTTCCTCAACATAGAAACACACAAACTTGAAGGTAAAGTTTCAATGAGATACAATTGTAACTTTTATTTATTTATTTATTTTTTTTGTTACATATGCATGTTTATATTTTGGAATTGATAAGTAAATGATATATGATTTTTTAAATAAAGAGGGCTTGGTGGTCATGGTCATGTTTAAACCATATTGATATCCTTCACAAGAAAAGGCATAAAAATCATGATCAAATTTTAAAACTAAAATGTATGAAGTTTTTCTTTGCCAAATGATAGTTAACAGCTAAAGATAGCATATCTATAGAATAAGTTAAATATGGCTAATTTGTAAACCCCCAGCTTCCTTAATAGCATAGTTGGTAAAGATAAGAAGTTTTGACTTCAATTGCTGATGAATTCTGAATTTTCCATTTAATATTAACATTATATCAAAGGGAAAGAATACTATAATGTGGCTCATTAGGATGACTATAAAAGAAATCTTAATGACCTCTTGACTATGTATAAAGATTGTAACTAACTGATGTAAGATGATCTGATTGTGTGGAAATAACATTCCCTGGTGTTTCTACTAACCAAGATCTTTTTCTGAGTGTATGGGACTGCTGTAAACCTTCTCCTGTTTATAAAAATAATACTTTGGAGCATGACACTTTATTCATAAAAGGTACTTTCAATATAATTTCTATGAGTTTGTGTTCTTTCTTTTATAATAATCTAGTGTTATATCTCCTTTAAGCTCATTAATATGCATGCTTCCAAAATCTTAGATCTGTCTGTATAGTTTCTTCAGGTCTTTGAACACAAATACCCTGATTCAATCTTTTGAGGTAGACATCATAGAGACATCGTAGATGATAATATCAGAATGTATATATCACAATCTTGATCATAAGGTCAACTTAAATGGTCTTAGGAACAACAAATGAAAGTTAAAACTTTTTTTTTAATTAGAATACATAATTTTGTAATAAACAAATACTGGAAAAGTTACTCTCATAATAAGCCTTAATGTCCTCCAAGAGTTCAGTTTGGACTTCCTCCATTAATCCTTGTATCTTGTAATCCTTGTATCTCAAATGGTTTTGTGGGCTAAAAATCATGTGTCTTTAACAACATTTTTTTCTGACAACTGTTTTCTCTTATCATCTATAAACTTGACTTCTTCTCTAGTCAAAGGTCTTTCAGGGTAATCCAAATAATTCTTACCCTCTTTTGGTAATAAATGGTTATATTCCTCATTGGCTTCTTCTGCAATCAAGGGTCTTTCTATGTAATCTCTGACAACATTAGGATCACCCTTCTCTGGACTTAATTGGTTATATTCTTGTTGAGAAATGATCTCACTAGTGCCATCTTTTTTTATTTTAACTGGTATACCTCTGTCTACATCTTTCTCTGAAAGAATTCTCTCTCCAAACTGAATTTTACTCATTCCTTTACTCTCTTCTTTACTGGAGGTGTTACCCATGGTTAATATGGAAAGTCAAAATCTTATGTTACAACTTGTATTTATACCCTTTTTGTCTATATTTAGAATTCCATCAAGCTGATATTGCATTACAATTTTTCTTTTTCAACTAAGACATTTTTTTTATTTATTTTTTCAGGATTCTCTTGTGAGGGCTTATGGAAATGATCTATGTCTACTCTTAGAATGGTGAAAGACTTTCAGATTATGCAAAGACTAACAGAATATCCTCTCTTGGAACACTGAAACAAGAAAACCAAACTTAAGAAGATGGAGGATTTAAGAAGAACATAGATAAATATGATTTCCAACCAATTTAACCAATACGGTCATAGACTGTGGTTTACAGGATGACAAAGAAAGGACTCAGGATTGTACCTTTCACTGTCAGACACTGACTATGGATAAAGTGTAATCATTTATCAGACTGAGATCTAGTCAAATCAAGTATTGAAAATATGATTTTCTGATAGCATGAGCTCTTTAAAAACTAATTCTCAATGACCTCAAAGTATCTGAAAGTGACTTTTATTTTTACCAATTCATATTGAAGACTGTTGTTATGTATGGGAATTACACATTTAAACCTTTTATTTTTCATCTAATTTTTACAACCACCTAGAAATTAACGCAGATATCCAGATGCTGGATTTAATGTTATTATTTAACTTTCCTGGAATTGTAAATATATTTTGTTTGTGTATGTATCATGTTTAATTTTGAATTTAAATTGGGTCTCAATAAGACCCCCAATAAAGATGCAAGTGTCCCATAATCTGTGTTTTAATAATATCTTGAATATCTTTATCATACCATATTGTACATACTAATTACATATAGAATGGTTGTAGGAATGCACTTTGTTGTTAAGGACATTTTGTCAAGGTCAAAGCATAAGATTATTGAGATGACTTCTTTGACAATAATTTGTAACTTACAAACTTCACATCATAAGTAAACACTCAGATGAAGAATCTATTGATTATGTAGTGAAAATACATTAATTCTTTTAAAATCTTCTTCTCTGCTACTAGGTATTTAACAAACTAAGTTCATAGTTATAATGAGCAAGAATGTCTCTTCCAACATTATGAATTCTATGCCCCTGGATCAGGGGTTCTGGTGTTGGGGGGGGGCTCTATTGATTAAACAGTGAAAATGCATTAATTCTTTTAAAAATCTTCTTCTCTGCTCCTGGGTATTTTAAAAATAAACTAACCAAGTACATGATTATGTTGATTAAGGCTGCCTCTCCCAAAATTGTGAATTTCATTGCCCCAGGGTTAGCTATTCTGGGTAGGGCTCTATTGATTATAAAGTGAAAATGCATCAACTCTTTATAAATCTCCTCCTCTGCTCCTGGGTGTTAAACCAATGAACTATGTACATAGTTATGATAAGGAAGGATGCTTCTTCTTAATTTGTGAATTTCGTGGCCCCTGGATCAGGGGTTCAGGTGTTAGGGCGGGGCTCTAATGATTATACTGTGAAAATGCATTACTTCTTTAGACATTCTTTTTCTTTGCTCCTGAGTAATATGCCAATGATCTAGGTAGATATTTATGATGAAGAAATGTGCCTCTTCCAAAATGGTTCATTTCAGGGCCTTTGGGTTAGGGGTACTGCGGGGTGGGGTGGGATGGAGGTGGGTACATAGTCTGAAAATAAAGTAATGCTTTGAAATCTGCTCTTTGCTTTTAATCGACAATTAAGATGAAATAAGATTTAAAACTTATTAAAATTTCCAAAATTTTGAAATACGTGATCCCAGGGTCAGTGGTTCACGTGGGTTGGGGTGCACAACTGGTGGTTATAAAGTGGAAATGCATTTTCTCTTCGTTACTCTGATCTACCTCTGGGTATTAAGCAAGCAAAGTAAGCATGCTAAGTGTATAGTTATATGGATAATGGGGCCTCTTTCAAAATTTTGAATTTTATGGCTTTTGTTTAAAACACGAACCAAATTCAATTGTTTGAAAATTGTTACATGATACTCAGTGACCTATAAGGCCCGTGGAACTTTTGTTCTACTAAATATTCAAATATAAAAGAGTGCATTAGATTTTGTTGTATCTTTTATTCCAATCTCACCGGGATTTATCGTGTCGTCATATATAAGAAAGGAAATAACCATTTTTGATTAACAATACGTCATCGATATATTTCTAAAAGTCGAGTTGAAGGTCACAACAAGTGTCTTTTTTTTCTTTTCACGAATAAGTGTATGGATAAATACCGTTCGCAGTATACCCGGAAGGGCCATTATTATGCTTATTATAAGTACATGTAATATTATGCCTTCATGTTGTTTGCTGCTCCTGCTTGTTGTAATTTGGGATCGCCCTTTACGCTTGGCGACCCCTTGCTGCTTTTAAACATGCGACGACAAACAATCGCCAATATCAAAATAAAACTTTTAAAATCATGTTTGTTTTATTTTCCTCTATGCAAATAATAAATTTATACATTTAGAGTAACAAAGTAATTAAATAATTAAAGTTTCCTGATGTTTAAAGTAATTACAGTAAATTAAAAGTATATTTCAAAGTTAGCTTTTCAAAACGTCACTAAAATTGATTTATTAAAACACACACCGTGATACCACTTTAAAGTTTATATACGAGGGTTGTCCCAAAAAGTCTTAGACAGAGCGAACAGTTAAGTTTCTCTTTGGTAAATTAAATTTTTTTTTTTGCCATAGCAAAATGTAACATTTTATGTAACATTTTATGATTTCAAGTTTCATGATGATAAAACATTTAATAAAAAATTTATGAAAAAAAAATTACGAAAGCATGTAATTGTATATCAGCGCACGAAAGCAAGCGTAATTTACGTCTCTTATAACGTCATGATGTCCACTTCTGCTTCACACGCGTCTGTTAACATCCAATATTTTTTTAAAGTGAAAATCCACTTTTGTCTGGACTTATTTGAATTCACTACTGTCCGTAATTTTTTTTAGCATATTCAAATTTCAGTCGAAAATTAGTCGAAAGTTCATCTTACACTGTAGGCAACATAGAATACTTTATGTCAATCATGGTCCACGAGGTACCCAACCGTCTGCGTTTAACAAACAGTACTCTTCTTCTTCCATGCGGTAACTATTCTCGATATCGAGGAAAAACTATCATTAAAACTCATACCATTTTAAAACAACTTCTCTATAAGAAGCTATAGTATGTAATGTCACTTCTGTACTCTTTCTTCCCGTCTCCGATATATCTAAACAATATCCAAAACAATGTATTACATCTCCGCGCGCCTGTTACGCGTTTGGTGGCGTCATTTTCATCAAACTCAATTCTAACAACACTTTGAAAATCATGACACTAATCGATCGATTCTAATGCTATTTATATGAAAATTTGAAATGTTGAGATTTTGATTCTAGTTTCACTGATTTAAATTTGAGCTCAATGTTTGACATAGTACCCCCCCCCAAAAAAAAATAAAAGCAAATGTAATAGTTACATGCGTAAGTTATTCCGAATTTTGTTCGTGCGCCGACAGACCATATCGGCCTTCATATAACCCGCCAATATTAATAATATGAACGATATATATTTAAGAATTCATAATTTAAAAGAACATTGAATAAATGATGTCTATGCAAAATTTTATTAGTATTGGTTGCATGTCAAAAAGTTATATTGACCACGACTTATTGGGACAACCCTCATATTCATATATCATGATAACCAGTAATATATAATAAATAGATTGGTATCATCAGAAGGATTGTTTTCCAGAAATGCATTCCACTCACTGTCCTTCTGAAAATGAAAATAAAGAACTTTATATTTGTTTTGACTGTATAAGAATAAAAAGGAGAAGTCATTTCAGATTCTCCTTTAAAACTTATTCATAAAATGTTTTGTTAGAAAAAAAATATCAGCATTATTGCGTTAACGTTCAACAATACATGTACATTGCACCTATTAGTCATATTAATTAGTTTAATGATTGTTTGTTTAACGTCCCGTAGAGAGTTTTTTTTTTTTTAACCTTTTTTGACACATCACCATTTGCCGGTTGTGGGCTGCAAATTTAGATTTGTACTTGACAAAAACGGCCTTTAAGTACTGAGGGTTCTTTTTCATGCCAGCACTTACTCGATTAATAAAGGGCTTTTGTGCTTTTAAAATGCTTTGCTCTTCTCAGACCTTGGCTGTTTTTGTCAAGTGCATCCTATTGTTAATTTGTTTTGAGGATTTAAAGCAATGGATTCAAGTTTCATTATCTGTTTGAATTTCAGACAAACTTGGATAACTACAATTTTTGGTTTTTAAAGTACTTGTTAAGACACTCTTTCATGATGTAGTTTTGACTAATTTTTCAAAATATGGGTGGACCATTGAGTACTTAGCAGCTTTTTTACTGTTAAATGTTTCTTTAAAAGACTGTGAACTATCCCCAAAATGATGCCTATAAAATTTGCAATGTGTCTTAAAGTCAATCAAACATCATCAGTGATAATTTGTTGAATTTTGGCAAAGAGAACATTGGTTGTTGTAAGTCTTGTCGCCAACGACGGACCCATTATATCATTTTTGTTCATTGAAATACACCTGCTCATGTGTCTATAAAACAGACATTGAATACTGTAAATTTAACATATTTCTGTGAATAGTTCTTTGGGATTCTTTTCCAAGTTTTACAGTAGCTTTAATGAAGCGTTTAATTTCACTCCAGTTTACTGATTCTATAGAATTCATTTTTAATACAGGGTCTCGAATAGCCCTTGATTTTCAGCTTCTGGCAATGAAACTGTGTGATGAAAAGTTGTCACATAAACTGTAATCAATTCATTTAAGATTCAATAATAATAGAAATTCAAACTTAATGTCATATGATTTCTATACTGTATGTCATAGATCTCAGGACATTATTTATTGAACAGCCCTTGTACATTGTTTAAAATTACACGCTTAAGCTACTACTATTTCAATGCAAATTATCACAAGTCGGCATTTTAGTTAAAATAAACGAAATTCCGCAAGATAATTATAGTATGGGCGACCCTGTAAAATATAGTTCAAGCATCGTCGCTTTTGTGCACTTTTAAGAAAAATTTGTATTACAATTGTTAAGTAATTGTATATCACCTTGTGTTCAATTATGACAAATGCATTATTACGTTAACCACAGCAGGTATTTTTGTTATTTAATTCAAGAAGTAACTATTTTGTCACAAATCTGCCAACAGTTGTATAGAGTTCAAAATCTTTTGGGTGAATGCAATGGCTCTGAATGAGACACGTGTTGGACACCGATTGTCCAATGCATGCATTGTTTTCAAAACAGTTCAGATTTGAAAAACAACTTCTGCAAAAAGTGCAATTTGTTTTGGAGTTTGGAAAAATATGCTCATCATGACTGAAGAAGAACCCAGGGCTGGGTTTCACAAAACTATCGTAAGATTTGTCCTAAGAAAGATCTTACGATCAATTTTAAGATCTGACTTATGATAATCGTAAGATTTCTCGGTGCTGTTTCACAAAACTATCTTAAGTACTCAGTATAAGAAATCTTAAATTCCACAGGGATTTTTTGTTTAAAATATGTTTGCACGAAGTTTAGTTGCATTTCCTTAATTTTTGAAATATACCCTCGAAAAAAAAAAAAAAACATTTTATTGAATCAACTTTAATGTATTTAGAGTGCGTTTGTGTATGTTGGTGTTGGGTCATAAAATTAAATTTGAATTAATTTCATCACCATAAAAAATTGAATAAAATTTGTTTAAATGTCGATCTTCTTGCTCAGAAAATAGTAGTTCCTGACGATATTGTGAGTAAAATTTTGTATGGAATTATATAGAAAGCAAAACAAAGTTTCAAATCTAAGCAGCGAGGAAATCCTACGATTTCTTTATATTTCAGGAATTTATTATTTATGTAATTTCAAATCAAAATCATACAAACAAAAATGACATGAAATGTACAAGTTTTTTTTTTATATAAAAACAAAAATAAGATCTATGAAAAAAAAACCTGGTGGAACCTCATTTTAAAAGAACAGACGGATAACATACTATAAAAATATAGTTTTAGATAAAATCTTAAAATGTTAACAAACTGAAATATGTTTTTGAAGTTTAGTCTTATCTAAGAAATACTTTTTAACAATATTCTTTACGTATACACTTAAAAAAGCAATAATTTAACAAAATGATTTAGAATGCTGAATTCAAACATACTTCTCTGCTCCTCCTGTGACGAAAATTGAAGGATAACAGCTTGTGTCTACCGTCAGCAAAAGAAAAAGAAAATGGATTAAAGTTCCTCAGAGTAACGAACCATCGAAATGCGCCTTAACTTAAAAATTAATGAGAATTTCAATAAAGATAGTGCAGACTTGTAGCTTTTAATAACTGTTTTCCTTTTTTAGATATCTATAATACGTTTTCAAGAATAGATTTGACAGTATGGCATTGTTTTGAATGAAATTTACATAAGGAACGTAACGTCATTACATCCTTTGCAATAGAACATTCTACAGTAACTGCTTACCTTTGTACACCAAAGCCTTACAATGTACATATATTTTTAAAAGTATTTAATACTCTAGACATATACATGTCACTGCATTATATGGCATTATTGTCTGATATAAATTTTCTGACTGGATAAATATAATTGTTAAATCTAAAGAAATATAACTACAAATTCATTTTTTTTAATACAAAGTGAAGCACGGCGCAGCATTGTTAAATCTTTTTCTTAGCAAGAATCTGGACCTATTATAGAAATAGAATTATCAGAGTGAGTATTTTTGTGTATGTGACGAACCTCGATTTATTCGTGCATTTTGATAATGAAATATATGTCTCGCACAATTCGTTAAGTTTGAATTATATTGATTGATTGTACGAGTGTTGTCTGTAAAGTTCGTGAACAACATTGATAATTACTGACAAACATTGATAAGATGTATGAAACTATTATTTTCATTAAACTTTTGTTTCATTTTATACATATGCCAATTTTAAACAAAATTAAAGCACAAATGGATATATTTTTATTAGATACAAAGAGACATACATTGTACACTCATACCCGGAGCACTAAAACGAAAATACTTGACGTTTCCCGATGTCAAAAGCTAAATACATGTAACTTTTTCTTAAGCAGTCATCAAAGATGTGCTCAAACTATTTAGATTTTATATTTAAAATATTTTACACTTCCTGTACCTGATCCTGCAAATCATCACACCTTTGTCCGCGTAGAAAACGACTCTATGTAAGGAAATACGGCAAATTCGCGTTATGGAGTTCAATTTTAACAGCACTGCGATCTCGGAATAATGGTCTTCCTTCACGAATGTCATCCTATAAACTATTCCTTCCGTTCGAAAATTTTAAATTCCACTTAAATACTAAAGAACAGCTTCCTTTACTATATTTTCCCGACTGTTTAAAGTATTGATGGGTCTATGTTGGTGTTTTTCCGATATCTACGCAGAATTTTATCACTGATTACTGCTCCACCTTTTCCGAAAACTCCCTTTTTCGAACAATGCCGATCCTGTCTTAATCGATTCTAACCTCGATTTCATCAGGCATTTCTAAACTCTGAACGTTCAAATTTTGCAGGTTTGAAGTTATAACTGTTGTCAACCTCATAATGTAAAAACAGTCCGAATTTCCGCGGAATTTTACAAAATACAAATGAAATTTATAGTGATAAAAATCTTTTTAATTAAAATTTTGCGGTGCTCCGGGTCACCATCCCAAATCTAATAATGAAGCCATTATTGTAATTATATTTGAAATTGAATATAATTTTACATTTTGTATTTCACATTAAGTAAAGGAACATAAAAAGGTTAATAATAAACATCAATGACGCCATTTTTATCCAAATTCGCACTTGTTCACGAACTTTACGGCCAACCCTCCTATATTGTTTAACGTCCCCCTCGAGAATTTTTCACTGATATGGAGACGCCACCACTTGCCGGTGATGAGCTGCAAATTTTGTCAGGGCCATTGAGCAGGGAGGGATCTTTTGCGTGCCAGCACCAACTGCGACACGGGACCTCGGTTTATACGCTCACAGTGGGATTCGAACTTACTTCGCGACTCTAACCACTCGGGCACGCGGGCGAAAATTATATTATAGTCCGTTAGATATTATTGATATATATTTGTTTTATTTGATTCAGATTTTATGACGAGATCAAAGTTTAATTCTTAACATATAAGTCAAAGAGAACACATAAGTTCTTAGTTTTCAACACCCCCCCCCTCCCCTTCAAGACTAAATATGATCAATTTTGATTAAAATTTAACAATTTTAACAATCACGGTTCATTATTTATTTATTAAACTTTAAATTTTGCTGTTTCACATAAATATTAACATAATTTTCTGTGTACAGTAGTTATTGATGTTAGGCTATGAAAAAATAATTTGGACTCCCTCGCCTTTATATCACACGAATTTGGATTCAGATTTTTTTCTTCAGGTATGTATCTTGTCCTTAAAGCAGGATTATACAATGTATTTATTTATTTTTAATTCCTATGTTCTACATCGCTATCGCCTCCATTTTTTCGAGGGGGGGGGGGGGGGGCTGACGTGTTAAATACATGCGTTTTAATTTTTAAACATAATTAGTGTGTACTGCATATACATGTTTAAAAATCTGCGCCTATGTTTATTTTTTTAAATATATTGTCGAAAAATCAAGTACATGTATTTTAATCAGCAAAGGATTGTTGTTTGTCTCCAATATTACACTCTTGATGTGGTTCATAAAAATAATTTAAATCGCCATGCACAGTCAGCATGGTTAGAATAGTACTACCCGGGAATGGGACGAATTACATTTCGATTACTTCCTCTACTTTTTCATTTGATTTTTTTTTCTTGATCGCCGTTTTTCTTTTTATTTTCCTGTTCCTTTATCCGTCAAAATCACTACCTTGCCACATCTTGTAAATATTTGAAGCGAAACCAACTAAACTACCAGTCATAGATATAGTGGAGGGACATCCTAAGTAAAAATCAAAATACTGAGACAGTACTGAAAGACAGCATAATAGGGGGATTTTGACGGGGTCAAAATGATTTTCATGCTAGATTTCACAAATATGATTTTTTTAACGAGTTTTGATAATTTTTTAATTACCGGTAATACACTAAAAACAAAACTGTGAATAATGTGAATTCGTGTTTTTCATTTATTTTGAAGTAGAAATTTCAATAATTGCTACGTCTAGAAACCTTTTTGAATTGTCCGAATTTCACTTGGTTCGAATTAATATTTTTCCGGAAGTAAACAATGGATGATGCGTACGCAGTCGTAATACTACGCAGGAGAGTACTATGTTTACTAGTGTGTTTTACAATTAATATTTTGGGTTTACATTTACAAAATGCTTCATTAATTTGATTTAGAAAAAGGTTCATATCACTTTCTTCAGTTTGATATAGGATGTTTATATTTTGATCAAAACAATTTCTACAGTCTTTCATATAGCGTAGATTTATAATGTGTTATCACCATGGCTTACGGTTGCTCTGACAGTAAACAAATAGACGGGGTCACGTGACCCCGTCTAAAAATATATGTCTGAATTCGCGTTCACTGTACTCTTGAAATAGGTGGTATGTATATAAAATGGAATGAAAATTAAAGCTTAAATTTATCAATTTGAATTATTTACTTTTAATAATTGTTATCCCCAAGTAACACTTTCATATCACTTCCGCAGGGATTCTATTTATAGATATCAGAACTTTATTCGTTTACTAACATTTACTGTAAATAAGATTGAGAACACAATCCTGAATGCATAATATTATTAAATGCCATATATTTCTTCAATTTAAATATCAGAGTGTAAACAAACCAAGCTATTTATCTTAATTTATAAAAAGATCAATATCTAGAGCTGGCAACAGATTGGAAACTCTACACAAATCAATTCTAAGTCATTTTTTTCTTATTTTAACAAACTTCTTCAAATCATTTTAGATGCAATAGATGTCATGAATGTCACATTATGACGTCGTCACTAATGTACTTAAGCATGATTGAAACGAGCGTAATTTTAAATTTTATAAGAAATATCACATGACTAAAATCACTATAAGACATTCTATCACAAAATTATTGACAAATTAGAGATTATATATAATTATCAAGAATAATTCTGATATACTAGTAACTAATTTAGGGTATTTACGCATATGATGAACTTATAATTACTATTATAATGGAGGACCTTGCTTCAATTTCTGAAAGCTCAACGTTCATAAAATATTAAATTCATATTGGCCACACGCTAGTACCTACAGCACGCCAAATTCACAAAATGAGCTAAACATAGTTTCACAGTTGATAAACTAGGTTTATCAGTTGTAAATTATAGTTTATGGAGTGTAAACTATAGTCTACAATGTAAATCTATATTTTGCATCTGTAAACCATAGTTTACGCGATAATCTATGTTTCAGAACCGTAAACTATACTTAATACTGAAAGCAAACATTTGCAATTGCAATACATAGAATATCTGATAAATACACGATTTGTAAACTATGGTTTACAGCTATTAACGATAGTTTACGATTGTAAACTACTGACGTGAATTTATGCTTATCAACAAAATCTATTGTTAACGTTTTATTACAGACAGATGCAGATAGATTAGCATTCGAAAACTATAGTTAACAACTGTTAAATATAGATTTACAGATGAAAACTATAGTTCACGAATTGTGAACTATAGTTCACGGTTTGCAAACTATAGTTTACAGTCGATAAACCTAGTTTTTCAATTGTGATATTATGTTTAGCTCATTTTTGTGAATTTGGCATGCTATAAGTACACGTGTACCTCTAAGATATTTTGTATAAAGGTGCATATATGTAATATTTTTATGCATGCAAAGTTTGGAAAGGGTACTTGAGTGTATCGTCGCAAACCACGGCCAAAATGTACGATCCTCTCCCATTCTGGGAGAGAGCTATATATGCCGACTCCGGACCGTGACTTGAGACGATGACTTGAGTCTGGCCACATTCAAATTTCGAAATAACTGCCTTAAAATCGGCGTTTTTAAGCGGTTTTTAACTTCATAGGTATATTTGTTCCTGCGCATGTGCTAAAAACGGTGGCCTGTGTGCCAAAAAAATATATGTAGCGCACCATGACATTGTGCTCTACAAAATAACATATGGTAGGTTTTTTGATTTCAAACTTAAATTTTGTCTAAAATTAAAGGCAGATATTGATGGTTCGTGGCTTTAGCTCTTTTAACACACACCCCTCACTATTTTTTTTTTTCAAATTAAGGATGAACTTAATAGCTACCTAAGTTAAACTGTATAACCTGGGTTAGGGAAGTTTACGCTTTAAAAACTACAGAGTTTTTTTCTTTTAAAAAGTGCAAATTGTTACAACCCAGGGTGCCTATTAGTTTTTAGCTCACCTGAGCTGAAAGCTCAAGTGAGCTTTTCTGATCACATTTTGTCTGTAGTCCGTCTGTCCGTCCGTCTGTCTGTAAACTTTTCACATTTTCGACTTCTTCTCAAGAACCACTGGGCCAATTTTGACGAAACTTGCCACAAAGCATCCTTGGGTGAAGGGGATTCAAGTTTGTTCAAATGAAGGGCCAAGCCCTCTTCCAAGGGGAGATAATTATGAATTGATGAAAATTTTTTAATCTTCTTCTCCAGAATGAATGGGCCAGGAAAGATGAAACTCATGTTGAATCATCCTCAGGTAGTGTAGATTCAAATTTGTTCAAATCATGACCCCCAGGGGTAGGGCGGGACCAAAATGGCCGACCAAAGTTTTACATAGAAATATATAGGAAAATTCTTAATTGATCATATTTATATGGAAGCATTCTCAGGTAGTGTAGATTCAAGTTTGTTCAAATCATGACCCCCGGGGGTGGAGGGGGGGGGCACAGTGTCCGACCAAAGTTTACATAGAAATATATAGGAAAATTCTTTAAAAATCGTCTTTTTAAGAATAGCAAAGCCATGATTGGTCATGGGACTACTTTTGGATATAAACTTTTCAATAATAATCCAATTTCTACTTTTTCCTAGCCACGGTGCTCAGGTGAGCTATGTGGCCCATGGGCCTCTTGTATTTCTTGTAACACAATTTTCCTTTATGGAGTTTTGAAATCAAAAGTTGGAGGGTATTAATGTATAATGTGAAGAAGAGGTTAAACTTCTTGGTGTTACTATTGATAGTCAATTAAAATTTAATAACCATATTTCAAACATATGCAAAAAAGCAGCTAGACAACTTAATATATTAAAACGCATAGGTACATGTAAACACCTGACTAAAGTGGGCAAACTGACCATCTATTACTCTTTTATTATGAGTAATTTTAATTACTGTCCTGTTGTTTGGCACTTTTGCGGAGAAATTAATACAAGAAAAATTGAAAAAATCCAAGAAAGAGCTCTCAGATTTATTTATGATGACATGAACAGTACTTATGAGGAATTATTACTGAAGTCAGGGTTGCCAACTTTAAAAATTAGAATATTAAGAACAATGGCTATAGAAGTTTTTAAAATTTTAAAGAATGAGAGTCCTGCATATTTATCTGATTTATTTACTTTTAAAGAAACCTCATATAATTTTAGGAAAACTAATACAGTACAGGTACCTAGGGTTAGAACTACAAAGCATGGATTACACTCTTTTAGATATGCAGGAGCCAAACTATGGAATGAACTCCCTGAAACAATCAGAAATGCAACTACAACTACTCAGTTTAAAAGTTTAATTAACAATTGGAATGGAGATTCCTGTAAGTGTGGCTCCTGTAGATCTTAATCCTCAAATCTTAATCTTCAGTGTTCGCTCAATTTATTTTTAGTTCCTTTTTATTTATTTATTTATTTATTTTGGTATTGTTCTTTTGTTTTAAGTTTATTTTGTTTTGTTTGCTTTAAAAGTGAGTAAATTTAGTAATCATAAATTTATAGAATTAAAAATATACTTTTAACTTAACAAATTTGCTATATTTTTATCAAAATATATAAAATATTTTTATCAAAATATATAAATCATAGACTATATTTTTAGAGCATAAGTGCTACTTGGACACTCATTTATATTTATTTTCTGTGTTTGTCTTATTTATATGCATGATATATGTGCTTTCTGTGTCGTTTTGTGTGTGTAATGTGTAAATATGCTTGTTGTGATGCATGACAATGTAATTCTAACTATTTTATATGTGTATGTAGTCATTTATGATATGTAGTACTAATATAATGTCGGTCAAAAGCTCTACAGAGCTTATGTTTCTTTTATAATAATCCGACTCAAAATAAAATTTTCTGATTCTGATTCTGAAAAGGGAACTGAGGTGTTTATTGTTAAATACTTTGCGCATCATGGTAAATTAAAACTTATTTATCAGGTCACCTGAGTCAGTCAGAGGACCTTTTGGCAGCTGCTTTTAGATGGACTTACTGCTTAAAGAGCAATTAGGATTATTTCCAGTTTAGGTTGGAGTTCATTAAGGAGTGGCATTCTCGGCGCAACATAATTAGTGTCTGTCAAAGGACGAATAGTTCTCATTGGTTAAGAAATTAATAACATCAGGAACTTAAGATTGTTGTTGACAACGCTGATGCGACTTAAACTCCACTTCTTTACCGGGAGAGACGAAGAATCTTATTGGTTATTTGATACACTCGCTGACATTTTCCCGAATATTTATCCCTTGTAAATATCAAAAGTGGCTGAAAGCTGAGTATATTTCAGACGCTAATTACGTTACGACTAGAATGTCACGCCATATTGAAAGTCCAAGGTTAGCTGGGAAGGCCAAGCTTAGCTGGGAATTGTAATACTAGCTATTGTCAGCCTTTTGAGGCAGGACGTTGACCTCAAATGATTTTTTATATAGGTACGTAAGTTGTCGTGTGTTTTGCTTTAATGTATAGTTGCTTTGCGAAAAGGTTTGTTAATTATGCATTGTATATCATTTATTTCGTTTTTATGGTCATTGAAATTAAATTAATTGTTTGTTTTCTCATTATGGTAATTTTTGCCCTTTCCACTGCCCATAGAAATGGCATTTAGAAAAAATGTTTAAAAACAAACGGTCCTTGATCAGTAGTGCTCAAAATCTAAAATACGTTCATGTAATAAGTATACTTACAAATATACGTTGTATTTGATGGATATCTTGCCGGGCATGGAATCTTCGCTGATTGGCATGATTTGGCACTCATTTGTATAGATTTTCCAACCGAATCGTAATATGGGCACACACCTGCAGTACAAAATGCTTGGTTTGAGTATTGATTCAGAAATACAGTGTAATCTGCAGGAATAGTGCGTACGAAACATTAAATGTCATCGATGTGGTCGGTTGACAACTGGACAAAAATATACTTCAGAAAGTTACGCACATTGGAAAATGTTTCATTTAGTTAGAAATACTTTGTCAACTTTAATATTTAAGCCCGCTTACTTAACTATTACTGCATGTGTAATGAAGTAATGGTTCAAAGTATAATAAACACTTAGATGATAGGCCATAGTTAAATGCAATTACAAGTACATGTGTATTTTGAAGTATCAGCAGTTCGGAAGAATTGCTTTCGCTCTCGGTGAAACAGAGCCATAATTTATTTTTTTAAAAATAAATCAGTACATAAAATGGAACTGACGAAAGAGTTTATTGTATGTAGTAAAAAAAAATATTAACGCTCCATGCGAGGCGTATAGTAAATGTTTAGCATACAAACTAACTATAATCAAATTGTGCAACCATTTTATGTACGTCTGACTTTGCATGTGTAGTTTTACTTTATCGCCATATTGAACTAGGGGTACTTTGAGCATTGAGCTCACTAAATAATACCCCGCCTCCCATATGAATAAAATGGCAGTGTCCTGACTCCATGCTTTGCTATGGAAAACCCCAAATTATGCGTCGGATCAAAAATTAAAATAGGAGGTGCACAATGGCATTATGTAATAAAGATTCTGTGAAAGTCTCATCAAATTTCATTCACTTGTATGAGAGGAGTTGCGGATTAGAGATGGGTACCCAAAAGGGTAACAGACGGACGGACATCCCGATTACTATATAGCCTCCTGCTTTTCAAGCAGGGGGTATAATAAACATGTGTGTTTGAACTCGGAGTTATACAGTTATATTTAATGAACTAAGCCATCCAAACAGGATCGAACAAAAAATTGAATTCCTTCAGTGCACTATAGATGGATACATGTAACGCATTCTACTGATCTATCACCGCTACACATATATAATATATGGTTTTTAAAATGACGATGAAGCACCGCAATTACCTATTTGAATTTTCCCGCTTGAAAAGTGGGAGGGTACATTGTAACCAGTATGTCCGTCCGTCCGTCCGTCCGTCTGTCTGTTACGCTTCGGGTTACCAATCTCTTATCCGCAACTCCTCCTATACCACTGAGTGACATTTAATGAAACTTTCTCAGAGTCATTTTTACATATTGCCATTGTGACCTCCTATTTAACTTTTTGATCCGACACATATTTTGGGTTTTCCGGCCACAGCAAAACATGGACTTTGCCTTTATAACCATATGGGAGGCGGGGGGTATCAGTTAGTGAGCTCATTGCTCACAGTACCTTAGTTTTACTTTTTGATCTGACACTTGTTTCGGGTCTCCAGGAGCAAAACATGGACGTTGCCATTATAATCAAATGGGAGAGAGGGTGTATCATTTAGCGCCCTCATTGATCACAGTACCTAAGTTTATGTGACGACAGCCAGAAACTTATCATTAAACTCTAAGAATAATACGACCTGATAGGTGTAGGTCACTGAACTGTTTAGGGTTGTTGCTCAATACCTCAAAACTTTTTTTTTGAAAAAGGTCTACTCGAGTATGTGTTTTCATAATCATACACACAATTAAACGAACCTCTTCTATGATATCTCGCGGACATGGGTGTTTATATTGTTTCTGCACGTCCTTCATCAATATTTGTGAAATTGCAGCAACTCGTAACTGCAGAACTTGCTTTATTGTTTTATCATTACAAAGACTTGTTCAGTAAATCTTGTAAAGAGTGTAATTTTTCATTATCTATCATGTTTCTCAAATACTTTAATCCTTTAAAGTCACATGAGAAATTGGCGTTTTTATAGCTTGTATATTTTTAATTTAACATTTTATTTGACTTTAACATTTGAAATAAAGTGTTTTGATAAATATTATCTAAAGAACGAGACATGTTCTGGATGGCAGGTACAAATTTTTAAGTGGACGAGTGATTCAAGTTTCCATCCCCCCAAATTTGTATCGACGATGGAGAACCTGTTTCGTTCTCTGAAATGATTTGTGACACGATCAATCAAAATTCCATAGATACACATCGCCTCTAAGGTCGGTTGTACATAGTACTTCACTCATTAAAAACACAACAACCATGTAAGCATTATAGCGCACTGTGAAGACGCTAGGATTTATGATACCCCATGCAACAAGTTGTGGGAGGTATAATAATTTTGATTCGTCCGTCAGTCCTGTTTTTTTTTTGTCAGCCCAACTCATGATAAACCGTTGCACAAAATTTGATCAAACTTTGGGGATATTTAGGACACAATCTGCAGATGTGCATAATACCAGGAAATTCCGATTCCCTTTTTTTCCGGGAATGTCCGCACGTTTACACTTAGATTTTTGGCCATGCCTTGAATAAGAGATGAACAGTTTGCCAGCGCAACTACTCACAAACCGCAGCAGAAAATATCTTCAAACTTTTCAGTAATTTAGGACACAATGTGTAGATGTGCATATAACCAGCAAATTCGGATTCATTAATTTTTTCCAAAAATTTCTGCATTTTTTAACCTAGATTTTCGTCCATACCTTGAATATAGAGATGAACAGTTTGTCAGCGGAACTTCTCTTAAACCACTGCACAGAATTTCGTTAAACGTAGCATATATTAAGGACACAATGTGTAGTTGTGCATATTTCCAGAAAATTAGGATTCCGTAATTTTCTCGGAATCTCAGCACTTTTCAACTTAGATTTTTGGCCATACCTTGAATATAGAGATTAGTCTGGTCCTGAGTTTTAAAAAGAAGGCTAGAAATAACTTTTAACGGCAATTAAATAATTATTATTTGGTCCAGCATAGTTTTTCAACCTACTTCGAGTATGCTGAATCTGTAAAAATATGCTGGCCTTCATGAAAATGGCGTCAAAGAGGTCAAAATGGCGATTAAAAATGGCGGACATCCAATTTTTCTAATTTTCTCTTAATCTCGTTCAAAATGGAAAAGTAAAATGGAGTGTAATACAAGTATAAAAATAATAATAGAATGCTAATATTATTAGTTTAACTCAGAAAATATAGTCATTTCTACACTTAATTCGAATTTTCTCTGATTTTTTTTGTCTATTACCCTTTTATTCTGCTTTGTTCGGGATTTTACATTTGCAAACATCCATACACTGCAGATTTGTATTTTATTCCTCTATATCTCACTTTTCTACTTTGAATGACCGTTCACGGTAGCTCAGTCGGTAGAGCGCTCGCTCCGTGATCGGGAGGTCGTGAGTTCGCATCTTGTCCGCGACTGACCTAGTCGTTAAAATGGGTAGTAATTGTTCCTCCGCCATGCGCTTGGCATTTTTAAGTGAAAGTTGCTCGTCCATCGGATGAGCCTTTAAAAACCGAGGCCCCGTGTCAGCGGCAGGCGTTTGCACGATAAAGATCCCTCAGTGCTCAATGGCCCTGAGTGCCGAGTACAGGTCAAAATTTGAAGCCCTTCACCGGCATACGGTGACGTCTCCATATGAGTGAAAAATTCTCGAGAGGGACGTTAAACAATATACAATCAATCAATCAATCAATCTACTTTAAATGATGGTGCAGCTGTAAGTTTAATTTCAAAATGGCGATTCAAAAGAGCGGATATTCATATTTTTTTCAAATTATTTCTTAATGTCGCTTTTAAAATAGGAGAAAGGATTTGTGAATATCTCACTGAGCATAGTACATCTATGTAAAATGACAATAGAACACTAATATTATCACTTTAATTCGGAAAATTTAGTCGTTTTAATTTGAAATGTTTTAATTAGCTCAAAATGGCGATTCAAAATGACATCATACGTACTCGAATTTCGTAAAATACTCAAACTGCTTAATTCTGAGTCGTTTTACAGAAAATATATTACAGTTTGATTTTTTTATTAATGAAATAATGATCAAATATGCTATGAAAGTTGGAGGAAACTTTTGTTAATGATTTTTATGACACGGATTTTTGTTTAATTACTTCTATTATTAAGATAAACTTTTGACGACAATTCCGAAAACATTTTACCTATTACCCGCCTTATCATGCTTCTTCATATAAAAAGTTAATATCATACAATAATTGCTGTTTAGAGGGCAATATGAAAATTAAGCTACCCCAAGTGCAGTATTCCCCGAGTATAAAGGCGAGTACACATTGTAGTCCGAGGGTTGCAAAAACATATCAGTTGTTAGAAACTCTTGATCTATTTTTAGAAAAAAACAAATGTTTATGTTCATGTGGAAGGTCTAGTGCAACATAACTTAGTATGATTTTTAAAATGATAGACCACGACCAATTAGAGGGCTAGTAAATGTTACAGCATATACATCTGAATATATTATAATTTATTAAGAATTATCAGTATAATATACGTAAACCATAAATTTTCTTGATTGTCCAGCTATGATTCTGCGTCCCTGCATTTGCATTTTGTTACTCTCAGTCAAAGATTCAAATGCATTCACAAATATTTCTTGTTGTGAACGGATAATCTTGAATTGAAAAATGTATTTAAATTTTGAAATTTACAAAATCTGAAAGAGAAAACTGTTTTTTCTCCCCTTGATTCTTGATACAACTTTACACTATCCTAACAAAGAAGCGTGGATCAAGTTGCCTTGTAAAGTTCTTGCAGTGTTCAAGAAAATTTTGTTGTCAAGAGAAGTGTTGAATAGATTGAAGTCAAGAATGGCTTAGGTCTATTGGTACAAAAGCTTGTACGTGAAAAGAATCACAAGGAATCTGACCTTTCTACCCAAAAAGACAACAAATCTATACGGTCACAAAATTGAAATCTACATGTCTTAAATATCAGAGTTTTTTTTTATACACCCCGCTTCTCAAGCGGGAGGGTATATAGTGATCGGTATGTCCATCCGTCCGTTTGTTACGCTTTGGGGTATCCATCTCTTATCCACAACTCCTCTCATACCACTGAATGAAATTTGATGAAACTTTCCCTGAATCTTTATTACATATTGCCATTGTGACCTCCTATTTCACTTTTTGATCCGACATATATTTTGGGTTTCCCAAAGCAAAACATGGACACTGTCATTATATTCATTTGGGAGGCGGGGGTATCATTTAGTGAGCTCATTGCTCACAGTACCTCTAGTTCATTTTGCATCAGATTTTGGAAAACAAAATTTTATTTTAACATTAACCATAAAGCTGGAATAGAAGATGTTAGGGGATAATACTAAGCTCTTATAAGTGCTAATTTCAAAAGCTAGTACAAAGTATCGATAAAATCGGACAAGAATTTCTTCAGTTATATTCCATGGTGTGCTGAGGGATCTTGAAGTAGAAGTTGATAATGACAGCGATTCAGGGGTGATTTGAGGTGGACAGGGCCGGCTCAAAGGCTTTGGAACACCGTCAAATACGAGGGGAAAATTAGGAACTCTTATTAAGTTGAGTTTGTTTCAACTATTTCCAGAAAAAAAGGAAATTTTTTAGTATTTTTGTTTGTTCATATTTAATAGACTAATCAATATAATAGATATACTATATATATATATATATATATATATATATATATATATATATATATATATATATATATATATATATATATATGCAGTTTGAGTTTTTCACGAAATTTGAGTGTATATGACGTCATTTTGAATCGCCATTTTGAGCTAATTAACACATTCCAAATTAAAACGACTTAATTTTTTGAATTAAAGTGATAATATTAGTGTTCCATTATCAATTTTCATAGTTGTACTACGCTCAGTAAGATATTCACAAATTATTTCTCCTATTTAAACGACATTAAGAAATATTTTGAAAAAAAAATGAATATCCGCTTTTTGAATCGCCATTTTGACTTTTAACTTATAGTTGCACCATCATTCAATTGTAGAATTGTGAGATGCAGAGGAAAAATATACAAATCTGCAGTGTGTGGATGTTTGCAAATGTAAAATCCCGAACAAAGCAGAATATAGAAACGATAGGCAAATAAATCAGAGAAAATTCGAATTAAGTGTAGAAACGACTAAATTTTCTGAGTTAATCTAATAATATTAGCGTTCTATTATCATTTTTATACTTGTATTACACTCAGTGATATATTCACACATTATTTTTTTCTCCTTTTTGAAAGATATTATGAGAAAATTAGTAAAATAAAATTGACCTGCTCGGGTAGAGTTGCGCTAGAAACTGAACTCTACTATCGCGAGAAAACTATTCAAACACGTCATTCCCCAAAATTTCATTTCATTGGTTGTAACCAAGTATACAACTTTACTACATACACACTACGCAATTTCCGCTCAAGAACGATAATTCGTTTACATATCGTAAGGACAACTATTTCTCGCTATAATCGTTACGCCAGAAATTACAATTATACCCCTCCCCACTTGAAAAGTAGGAGGGTATATAGTGATCGGGATGTCGTCTCTATTTAGAACATATTTTATTGTATAATTCATACAAAGGAATTTGTAACAAGTTCTAACAACTCAGAAAAACCTTTCCAAACTCCTATCCACAACTCCTCTTATACCACTGAATGAAATTTGATGAGACTTTCAGAGAATCTTTGTTACATAATTAGAAAAAAGTGTGTGCACCTGCTATTTGACTTTTTGATCCGATACTTATTTTGGGATTTCCCATAGCAAAACATGGACACTGGTATACTTTCTATAATACCCCGGTATTAAAAGGTACCAGTTCAGTGCTCATAGTAACCTTTTTTATTCGCTAGCAAATACATGAATTATATGTATCATACAATATGTATCATACTACAGAAAATAGAGAGGTTGAGATTTCAAATGTGTACGTGTACAGGTACGTTTAATAGGGTCCTGGCGTATAACGTCATCAATTTTAGTGATGAAGAGTTTTCTACACGTCCTCAGAACTTGTAGAGTGGCATCTACACGTAAGTAAAAGCGTGTAGCTTTAATAATAAAAATCGGTCAATTTATGTGTGGAAATGTATTTGTTATACATTATTTAAGATGTTGAGTTTCACGAGCACTTATTTTAATCATATTTTGTTAACTACATAAAATCAAACTGAAGTAACAAAACTTCTAAAAAGTTGTTAAAGAGACACCGATCGCGGTGTACACGTACTCGTTACACGTCATAAAAATCTCAATAGACAAATTACAAACACGTGTACGTCAAAGTAGATGCATAAGTACACGTTCTCGTACAAGTTTTACATCTCAACCTCTCTAATGTGAGCGAAATGATACCCTCTTTCCATATGATTAGAATGACGAAGTCCATCTTTTGTTTTTGGATACATGACTGATTAAAGTTTCGGATCAAAATGTAAAATAAGAGGTGCAAAATGACACTATGTAATTATAAAAATTCTGTTATGAAATTTTATTCAGTGGAATAGGAGGCGTTGTGGAAAAGAGATGGATACCCTCAATATAATAGAACGACTGACAGTGCCTGTGTTTTGCTATTGGAAACCAAAATATGTGTCCTATCAAAATGTAAGGTGAAAATTGCACAATGGCATTGAGTAACAAACATTCTGTCAAAGTGTGATGAAATTTTATTCGATAGTATAAAAGGTTAAGAGATGGGTACCACCAAAGAGTACACAACGCACGGTCTGACGTACATACAGATGGACGAACACCCCATCACTAAATACGCCCGCTTGAAAATATATTAATAAAGTGATTACCACTCCTTAAATTTATCTTTAAAAAATCAACAAAGCAGGTGACACATACTCTAGTTAAACTAATATAGCTTTTCTTTAATCACTAGAAAAGGGAGCATAAATCGGTGTTTAAATTTTATATTAACAAGTGCTTGAACTATATTTTTATATGAAGTAGAAAAAGTCCACATGTAGTTACACATATAAAATTGTATACTTTGATTTGAAAAACATTTTGATAGTTTCGTTTCGTATCGGTAGATTTCGTTTCGTTTCGGCAGATTTCGTTTCGTTTCAGTTCGTTTCGTTTCTGTTTCGTTTTGCACTTTACAGGTACCCTAGTTTACTGTGAAAATATGTTTAGCTCATTTTTGTGAATTTAGCGTGCCATAGACTTCTTAAGTTGACGATTTAATTGGACATTTAAACTTTTATCACGTCCGGAGGTAAGAATTGACAATGCACAAGGAAACCTTTCTAAATACAGAATTTGATATATTTCCTGGTTTATACAGCATTTTCAGAGTTTGTTTTAGATGTTTGCTAAATTACATTGCTACTTGCTGCTCCGTGACGTACTTCGAAGTCATTGCTTTCGGTTTTTAATCAAGAATATCTGTCTTTAGAAATTGATTTTTGTCACCCATTTTTTTTTTATAATTAAATAACTTTAAATTTCATTCCATATGTTGTTTCCATTATATACTTTTTATTTGTAAACATGAAACAACCAGTTTTGTTCTTCAGTGAGTCTGAGTTCATTTGCAATTTATTTTTGTGAGAATGGTCATTTATTTAATTAACCACAAATATATTTGATCAAATGATGAAATTAATTAATGTCAAACATTGATTAACCAAAAATGACTAAATAAATGAAAATAAATTTGCAAAGGAGGGGTTAAAAACCAGGTCATTTATTAAATTTATCAAGAACAATTGTATTTGGATATTGATATCTTTTTAACGAGGCGATGTATTACATTACCTTTTAGCATCTAAAGTGCGAGATCAATACAAAATTTAAACATTCATTTCGTTTAAGGCCCAATTATTAGAGCTAATACTATAGATATCATAAGGTGTATAATAATTAGTAAATAACAAACTTTTGTCACTCAAAGTATTAGAAACTGTTGTTAATTTTTTAAATTATATTATGACGTTAAATAAAAAAGTAATCACAAAAATCTACGGACTTTTTCCATATTCCTTGATCATGCATTACAAATCGACTAAACGTTGAGGACACATTTAGCAATGAAGGCCACTCAAAAAATTCTCCTTATGTAGAAGTTTTAAAGATTACCAGATCAGACCAGACCTTTTGGTATTACTTTCGTCTGCTGCCGTGCTTCTCAGGACCCACTGGACCAAAATTTAATCTATCTGGCAGATAAATCCATGGGTGAAGGAAAGCAAAAGTTTTAATTTCACCCCTTCCCACTCTCAAAGAAAATGGAAAAACATTTCTACTGAAAATTAAAGTTCATGGCCGCAGGTGCAGAGTTTTTTAGGTTCAGTTTGTTTTTGATGATTTAAAAGTGAAAATGCATTAAATTCCGTTGAAAGAGTCTTCTTTCTCTCCTGGGTATCTAGGAGACAAACAAATAACAAACTTTGGAGGGTGGTATCAGATTTGCGAAATTTAGTCCACTTTGTCAAGTGTTGTGGTGCATTAAGGTGCTCTGTTGATCGTGTACTCTACTGGGGAAGTTTTTTCCTTTTGCTATTCGTTATGATAATAAATCACAGTGAATAGTGTAATTGGTAGTCTAGATCAATTGAATAAATAAAATATTTAAGAATTTCTATTATTATATATCTTATAAATAGTCTCTAATAAAAAGCTACTACAAATCTACAGAAGTTTAGAATAGCTTGGCGTTTTATTGAACGCTGAGTTTGTATTTTTTATATGAGTATGTCCAAAACATTCCGAATACAAGCGTTCAATATCGAATCCCCCGTTTTAGTATTATTCAAGCTAAAACGCTATACGTAGGGTCATTTAAATGATGCAGTATTAAACACGTACAGGACATATTATTCCTTTATAGCTTGGGGTAAATGTTTTTGCAAACCGCTATTTCATTATATTATTTTGGCATTGAGATACATATAACAGAGAGACAGAGAGAGAGAGAGAGACAGAGAGAGACAGAGAGAGACAGAGAGAGAGGACTTGCCTTGGAGAAATTTGGTTTTTGTACAGACTTCCACTAGGATTGTAAAGTTCTCTGTTGGCAAGCAATGATATTCCATCGTAGAATCACAACCAAGAGCACGACAATTCTTTTTGTCCGCAGCTTCCTCCCAGCTGGAGCTCGTTCTTGGACAAGTGGAGACGGTTGTAAAGTTTATGCAAGTCCAAATCACCTGTTAGTATACGACGGTATAATTATTTAAATGAAATGTTATAAAATATTTGGTATTTCCTTTGATCTTTTAATGAATAAATAAATAATTCTTGACAGTATATGATTTTTTTTTATCTTAATTTACATTTAAAAAGTTTTTTAAGTTATATTTACTACTTACGTCAATGAAATGAAAAAAAAGTATGATGAAGGAAATAAATGTTCTTCCAGATCTCATTTTTCTAGCATATGGTTCAATATTTCTGAAAACAATATCAAGTAATCTAAGATTTCAGATTCTGAAAAAAATATTTTGCACAATTGTTTCCTTACAAACTTCATTAAAACTTTTTTAAACAATTGATGGGCAAACGGTAAACAATGATATTTTAAAGTATCAAAAGTGGTGAGAATCCCGGCCAATTATTTATCAAAAACTATTAAACATGCATACAAAAAATGTATCACAATCTTTAGATTGTCTAGTCATAAATTACTGGTTGACGAAGGTATCTTTGTTAACGGAAATAGAAATAATAGAAAATGTTTATTATGTTTATACGTATTATCTTAAGTTTCCAAAGTGGATATTTTAGAGGATAATTTATCAATAAATGGTACCATGTTTCTACTATAGGCCTGTACCATAGGTTTTTTTTTTTACAAATAATATAAAACGTGCTTTCTTTGATACAATATAGTTGAAAATTTTAAAATTTCTTTTTCAAGGTGAGTATTTTTTAGAATTCTTTGCTCATTTAGCATACTCATCTGGGTTTTGTCGAAATGTAGCACCGAAAAGAGATAACACTGCAGAGATAAACCATACTACAGAGTAGGATAATGAAGTATTGTTTATTTTTTTAAATAGTAAAATTTTTCTATGAAAAGGAAAATTCTTCTGCATTTACGGTTTGAAACGTTAACATTTTGCATTGGGATGAATCTTTCATGATTCTAGATTTTTAGAAGGTGACTCTGAAAAATGCCACCGTATTAACATAAAAAGCAGTCAAACAGATGAAAAATACTATTATCACCCTGCGCTAAAGAATCAGAATGTACAGAAAATACAACTTACAGTAGCTGTACTGTGCCCGTGTCTATGTTTCTGCAAAGAGCTACTGCTTTCAAAAAACGGATAAAAAGACAGCTGCAATTGGCAAGAAACTACAAAAAATCAAATGGAAATAGTTATTTTTCAGCCAAGAATATATTAAAGTTCTAGCAATTGATTTGTACGAATTATGTTTTAGTAACTGAAATAAAACTCAAATAATTTAAATAAATACTTTAAAGATTAGAGTTTGGGCCATCACAGGAGTCTGAAGTTTTTATCGTCAATCAAAAAAAAAAAAACCAACTAAAAAAACTAAAAAAAAACAAACACCAGGATGGCAACGTGTTTTGGGGAGACCCACCTAAACAAATAGATCTTGGTTTGGCCAGAATAAAATCCCGACTTATTCAGTTTGTGTTATTTATTCAAGTTGAAAAATTCAATCTGCTTGACGACTACGGGTAGTGCATTGCCTTTTTTCCACATTGACAGCTTATCCTGGACTCATGCCACTGAACCGAAAGTGAATCTCGCAGTGTATATTTGGCGTCTATGAAACTTGTTCAATTAAAATGAAATATATAATTGTTCAACATAATTTGATTAAATATATTTAAGAGAACTTTAAAAAGTTATCAATTCTTTTTCTTACTTATATGACGATATGTACCAGGAACAGATAATTCAGTTTTTCCAAAGCGACAAATTTAAATCACTGAAAAGCCAAGCCAAGAAAGAGCCAAACAGCTAGACTTAGCGACATTATAAGGCATTATTTTGTTTCAGAAATATTTATTTTTATTGATCACATATGGAGACATAATATTGTACAATGAAGATTTACATGCAATTTTTTTTTTGTTTCATTTCTTCCATTATGTCAAATATTCACTGCGGAGTTACTTCCGGTTTAGTGGCATGGAGTCCAGGATGAGTTGTCGAGGTGGAAAAAAGGCCAAAAACGTCCTGAAGTCGTTAAACAGATTGGATTTCTTAACTTAAATAAATAGCACAAACACTCCGAATACTGAATTACATGTAGTTGCGAGATTTTTTTGGCCAGCACAGATCTGTTTGTTTAGATGGGTCTCCCTAAAAGACGTTGCCATCCTGGTGTTTTTTTAGTAAAGGGTGGGAATTTTTTATTTACGGTTTTATTTGATTGTCGATAAAAACTTCAGACTCTTATGGGGCCATAAACTTAATAATTATTATCGTCCGAATTTCCTCTTTCATATTTATATTTTTCCCCATTATGAATTTATTATTTAAAAAATATGAATGATCAGAACTCTAAATTATTTATAGTATCTATCAGGTTACTTTTAATGCTCTAATTTTCATGGTAATAATATTATATAGGGTCAATGATGAAATCATTGAGATGTGTTGTATGGAATGGTTTTTGTTCATATTTTTGATCTTCTTTAGTCCGAATTTCCTCTGCATTACCCTGCATTGATTTTTGTTCCTGCTTATTTTCTTCGATTAATGAAATATTAAATTTTTAAATTAATATTGAGTGAAAACTTGATTATTTTATCCATTTAGAACAATTTTTATTTAACATTTTTTATTTTATAAAATTTCTTTTCTGTTTTCTGAAACCTGAGTAAACTTCATCCTTACGACTTATTCAAGGTATTCGAAATAAAAAAATGAATATCAGTTTGACAGAAAATTTTGAAAGTACCGACCTACCTTAAGATAAATTGATAATCGTACACATTGAAACATTACTCACCTGAGCATTGTAACTAAGAAAAAAACAAAGATGAGTTAAGTGTTGAAAAACTTATAGAAATAACTTGTCGCAACCCATTCCTTAAAAGAGAGTCGTGGTATCATTTGAAGAAAACTAAATGTACACTTACTAAGTATGCTTATATATTCTTTGGCTAACTGTGACTTTCTCCCCTACAAGTTTGATCTTTCATTGTGGCCCTACCCTACCATTAGGCCTAAGGGCCATTATTTGAACAAACTTGAATCTACACTATCTGAGGATGCTGCCATATAAATACAATAGACAACGGACAAATTTCGATTAGAAAAGCTCACCAGAGCCTTTGGCTCGGCTAAAAAAAACGTAAGCCCATCCCCATTCTATGTGAAAATAAAAATCAAATTAATGATCAATCAACTCATAACTTTTCAGATTGATTACCATCTGCCACCGAGACAGGGTAGGTAACTATCACAAATTCAAAAAGAGGACCAGGGCTGCATCGTCACCTGAGCACTTTGCTATAGGAAAAAGCAGGAAAATAATAAGTTTAGTATTGAAAAGTATAAATATGACCAATCACAACCTTGTAGATTTAAGAGATTTTTTTCTATGCATCCCTATGTTAAACTGTCATCGCCAATTGTGCCCTACCCACCCCCTTCACTCTAAAAAAAGTTTTACTAGTTGTTTTTAAAATAAGATATTAGATTAAGAAAAACTAGTAATTATTAGTAATCCATTTATTCAGAATAGCAAGTAAATGACTATCATGGTTAGTAATTGTAAACATAATTAGTAATAAGGATGAATTCTTTTACTTATAAAATGATTTACTAAGTATCAATACTTAATAGGAATTATATTACTTAATGAACTACTCATTTTTAGTAAATTATCATTACTTAATTTAGAGATAATATGCTTTCTATTTACTAGATTTTATGAATTATTACTAAGTAAATGTAATTCTGAAATTAATTAAAATCTAGAATATTATTACTTAAGGGAATGCTAAGCAAATGAAATACTTATCATATTTACTAAAATCGACATTATTTTCAAGAAAAACTGCAAGGTATCGACCCTCTGATAAAGGAGATACATGTAACTATGAAAGTACAAAATGTAAGACTAATCACAGTTTTCTTGATCACAATGTCTAATTGAGCTTTCTGAGTAGTCAATTAGCTGAAATCTACATGGAATGGTAACAATACTCTCTATTTCTTTTGCCAATTTCTTTGTAATTGTTTTATTATATTTAACAATAAAACATTAATTCCAACATCAAAAGCCTTATAAATTGAATAAGTTGTATCTTTTTAAGGACCATTTTAAAAATGGTTTAAAGTTTCAAGTACTTAATACAGCATTTTAATTAGAATGATTTTTTTTTTACATGAAGAAATATTTAGGAGAAAGATGACTCCTCCTCACAGACAATATGGAAGCCAAGATTATATATTACATTTCAAGAATTCAATCCTGATAGTGATTAGACTACCATTTTTAAGTAATTATTTGTATTGAAACTGCTCTGAATTCTCCTTGACTCAGTTAATAAATTATTGTTTTAAGTAAATAAATTAAATACTATTTAAACAAGATGTGTTCGTGAAACACTGATGCCCCCGTATGGCAACATACCAAAGGTTAAACTTTTCTTATATGCAAATTCCATATATTGGTTTTTCTTGATATCTCAACGGTCAAGGTCAAATGGTCAATGTTATTGGTATCTAACGAAAGGTCCTGCCACAAAAAAATACATATCTGTAATATGAAAGCACTAGCCCCAACCCTTCAGAAGTTATGGTCAAGGTTATCAATTTTGAAATGTAGATCAAACTCCAAGGTCAAGGACAAAGGGTCAGATTTGGTGGTACCCAAAAAATATGTCTTGTCACAAGAATAAAATTTGTAAAGTATGAATGCACTAACCCTAACCCTTTTAAAGTTAAAGTTAAGGTTTGCTTTTTAAAAGTGGGTCAAACTCCAAGGTCAATGTCAAAGGGTCAAAGTTCTTGGAATCTAGTGACTGGTCTTCTCACAGGAATTACATATATGTAAGTATGAAAGCCCTATACCTTATCGTTCAAAAGTAATGGCCAAGGTTAAAGTTTTTTCACAAGGATGAAATCTCCAAGGTCAAAGTCAAATGGTCATGGTTGTTGGTATCCAATGAAAGGTCTTTCAACAAAGAATATATATGTGAAGTATTAAAGTCCTGGTATTTACTATTAAAAAGATATGGCTAAAGAAAGAGGTTGGAATTTGTAAAAGTGGGTCATATTCCAAGGTCAACGTCAAAAGTTCAAATTTGGCGATACTCAAAGAAAGGTCTTGTCAAAAGAAATGGACATGTGAATTACACAAGTCATAGCTCCGCTAAATCAAAAGTTATGGGCAAGGTTAAATTTTTTGCGGACAAACAGAGAGACAGACAGACAGTTAGACAGACAGACGGACACGACAAAAACTATATACCCCCAAAACTTCGTTTACGGGGCCAAAAAAATATTATTTATGTAGTAAATAGTGGTAAAATCTAAGTAAAGGCCAAGTAATGTTATTACTTATATACACAAATTTAAGTAAATATAAATTACTCAGTAAAACTTGTTAGTGTTTAAGTAAAACAATTCTTTAAAACACAAAAATCAAGTAAAACATTTGAATTTAGTAATTGACATATATTTTAGTAATTGATTTAAAATTTTAAGTAAATGCTTAGTAATTATCTTTTACTTATCTTTGTTATTTCAAATAAAAAATGACTACTAAGTAAAACTTTTTTAAAGTGTTCCGGTCTTGATTTAAACTAACTATAGAATTTACACTACCAAAGGATGCTTCCATGTACATATGACCAATTATGTTCTTGAAAATAACATTTTAAAAAGATTTTTCCTATGATTCCTATGTAAACTTTGAACATCCATTATTGCCCCTGTTTGACCCTATCTCCGGGGTCATGATTTGAACAAATTTAACTCGACACTGCCTGGGGATGCTTCCATACAAATATGACTAATTATGAGTTTGCTGTTCTTCAGAAAAAGATTTTTCAAAACATTTTATCTATGAATTCCTTTATATTCCTATGTAAAAGTTTGATCGCCCATTAAGGCCCTACTACCAGGGTCATGATTTGAACAAACTTGAATCTACACTAGCCTTCCTCTCAATGATTCCACATAAAGTTTTATATGTTCAAGCACAGTGGTTCTTGAAAAGATGATTTCTAAATGATGCCATTAAATTTTCATTAAATTTTAATACCCTCCCCTTAGAAGAAGACGTGGCCCTTTATATGACCAAATTTGAATCCCCTTTACCCAAAGATACTTTGTGGCAAGTTCGGTTGAAATTGACCCTCTGGTTCTTGATTAGAAGATGAAAATCTAAAAAGTTTATGACGGATAAGACGACAGACAACGAATAAATTTTGATCAGAAATGCTCACTTGAGCCAGATAAAAATACAGTGATGCCATTTTCCATTATTTCGCTAATTTTTAAAACTTTATGTTCTGGAAACATAAAATTGGATAAATTGGAAACTAAAAGTAGGGTAAAACGCAGAATAAAACAAAAATATATTTGTTTATTTTCAAGTTGGGGGAAAGATAATATTGATACTTCTAAGCACATATTTTACAAACAAAATCTAATATATAACACGTTTTTTTCATTTTGAAATAACTAAAATATTCAACTTCTACGAAGGGATATATTTGTTTATTTTCAAGTTGGGGAAAGATAATATTGATACTTCTAAGCACATATTTTACAAACCAAAATCTATTATATAACACGTTTTTTTTTTCATTTTGAAATAACTAAAATATTCAACTTCTACGAAGGGATATATTGAGGAAAATATTAATGCCTCTATTTCATTTATATTGTAAAATATTTGTTTGGTGTACCCTTCTGGATACCACAAAAAGTAGCCATGATATCAAACTTTACACAGGTTCCAACCTGATAATAAATGTTTGGCAATTCTTATTTGAAACTCATTACCAATTGCGAGTCGACGAGAGTTACAAATAAAATGTTTAGACAATAGCCAAGTTTACCAAACGACACTTTAACAGTTAAATAAAAAAGCCAGCGCATGCTGTTGATGTCATAATTTATAGTTTGGAACGTTTTGTCCCGAAAACATTTAAATATTACTATATATACTGTTCCTTTTCTTCACCTGTTTTTGCTTCAATTAGCAAAATTGATCTACTTTCGGTTTGTTACTTAGAATTTTAAGAAAAATTCAGTTCACCAAGTAAAAAATTCAAAGTTTAAAAATGAATGAGTTAATTTGTCAATTGTATTCTGTATTTTCTGAATTTCAGAATAATGTTTAAAACAAAAAATTAACGAATCGAAAGTAAATTTCCCGCTGATAAGTTTTTTTTTAAAATTCCAGCTCTTAAAACACATGCATTGAGTGTTTTGGGAAACTTATCATTATTTTCCTAAAATTCTTATCCTATCGGAAGGTGAAAAGATTTTAAATTGATCAAATAAGGTTACCTGACAGGAAATTCATAATTCTATTCTACGCGTTTCTAGCGTTTCTATTGGATATTTTCGGTTGAGTGAACGACTGATCTTAAGTATATGGAGCGCAATAGGCACTAAAAATAATGCGTAAACTTGTAATATCTAAATCTGCTTTTTTAACTGATATTACAAACATCGCTAAGGACTCTTAAACTTTTGAAACATTTAATGAATAAAGTTACCAAAGCTTTGACTAGTGTATCTAATGTATTCAAGGGTGGATAGAGGATTTAAATTGGGATGGGGCGATCCGAAAATACAGGTGGTCTAGGGGCGTTTTTTAGGTTAAAAATAAAGGCTTTTGTGAACCTTTACAGCGCCTTGTCGTCATTAAATTAAAATAAATTTCCATGATAAATCTAAACACTGATATTATAAGCTGCTGAGCAGACAAATGCGTTAGTTTTCAGTGTAGATTGAGACCCAAAATAGTGCTGTTTTTTCTACAGACGAACGCATAGGACACTTACTGAAAATTCTAGCAAAATATGATATTCCTCTTTTAAGCCGCTTAGTCCGATTCTAATCGCGAAAAAATATTATTCGTTTTTTTCTTGAAAATAATTGTCCATAAATTACATCCCCAGTCTTTTTATTTTAAAAGATACCAAAATTCAGAAGTTAAAAAAAATAATATTTGTTGGGTCACACAAAAAATAATCCTATGACGATATCGTTATTTGCAATGGCGTGAAATCAACTTTGAAAAATTAAATTTATCGCTTATATCTCATTATGAAGAACATCCCGAGCATTTCTTTTTCACCACAAAGTACTTATACCTGTACATATACAATATTTTAGCCTTTGTAGCTATACTTCCTTGAAAACATCTTTATAAATATCTGATTTCCCTTTATTCTTTAAAAAATATCCTTAAAAATATCTTATTTCCCTTTATTCTCTTAAATGGGCAATTTAATATAAAAATTACTGTGGATTATATTCAATTAATTTCTTATTTTTTAAAAGATATATTATGACTTAGGCTTCTACTAATAAAAAAAAATACTCAGGTTTGTTCTTCATACTTAGATATAACCGATAAATTATTTTTTTAAAGGTGACATCACGACATTGACAATGATCACGACAGCGAGATCTTAAATTCCCGTCGAGGAACTTCTGTTTGTCAATAAGGTTTTTGATTTATGTTTTCCTTGTAAGGATTGTTTTAATAAACTATTAAATCAATCTTAAAATTTATTTTTTATATATTTCCTACACTGTAAGTAATGACGTACTTTTATTGTGTAAGATAATATGTGCCTGTTTCGGATTAAGCGGCTTTAATATTTCAATTATTTCAAAAATCAAATTATTGCATAGCTTCATTAATTTTCTGGTAAATCTCTCAAAAACCCGAGAAGGGACCTTATTTAAGAAATATTCTTCTTTAATTTAAAGTGAAAACGATGTGTTTAATGTTGATTTTACAAAACTACTACATGAACTACATACCACATAACACACAACATTGCCTTCTTTGTATGCAAAAAAATTATTGAGTTGGGTTAATCAAATTTTGTTTGGTCAAAAAATTCCAGAATATTGTGGGCACAACCAAGCATTTTCGGTGGAAACTACCAATCATAAATTCCTAAGAGTCGTTCATGTAGAATAGTTTATTACATGGGGGGGGGGGGGGGGGGGGGCAGTCAGTCACTGCTTCACTGGAAAATTACTAGACAAAAGTACTAGTATTCTTACGGGTGTGACAAACCAACCAGACCTTCTTTTTAAAATGTTCAAAAAATATACTGTCTTAGTTGTAGGGTCTTCTATTGTGTACTGGGCTGAATAAACTAAATGGACATAAGTACTTTTTAAAATACATATACAAGAAATTAAGAATTTCCTAAAGATAAACAAACTTGGATTTTGGGGGAAGAAAATTAGAGGAATGAAATGGGAACAATTATTAGAAACTATCCATTTTTTGCAATCAAAATTTCCTTTTCAAGATTCAGGTTGTATTATAATTCATTTGAGGTCAAATGGCATCAAATGTGCTTGGTCAAAAAGATTTTTTCCAATTATTGAAAGAGACTTAACTACAATTATGAAAGAATTTCCAAAATGTAAACTTACTATTAAAGACTCACTACCAAAACTTACTTGAAGAAGGTAAACTTGGAAGGATATTTAAAATAATGTATTTACAAAAATATATTAGAATTCAGAATTTGAAAACGAAAATATTATAAATTAAAACAATTACATCCAAATACAACTTGTTAGAAAAAATATTTATATTTCGAGTTGATGAAGTACATCTTACAAATTTGGGCAATGATGTTTTACTAGATGATTTTACACTTTTTACACTTAAAATTCTCGAAAATTCTACGTGAGTTGTCAAATGTATCCACAAGTAACGGCATTTCTTCCTAAATCAAAGTACTCAGAAGTACAGAGAGCCGGGCTCATTTACAGAGTAGAATGGATTTCTTACATGAATCACGTCTATATTCTGATGAAAAAATTATTTTAAAACTATCAATATAAATGATAAGACACTGACAGTGAGTTTTTCAATCCTAATACCACGGTCCGATTTTGTCAGAATCAGAATTAATCTGGTACCGCAGCTGAATGTAAACAAACAGGCCAGTCTGGTCCCCTCTCCTGCTTTACCTCGTATGTGTAGAGAACTAAGGTAACACTGATTATCAAAAATCCTTACGCTAATGAACTATGTTCTTTGACTTATGAAGTTTTCAAAGTCATTACTTCTAATGTTTATTTTATATAGATAAAACTTCGTTTTATTTTTGTTGCTTTATTTAGCGTTTGTATTATCTCAAAAGCGGTTGAGAGTAAGAACTATATTTTTGCGCGTAACTTTAAAATGGCGACTATGGGGTCAACATCCTGCCTTGAACAGGATCACATAAGCCGGCAATTGCTCTTTGAGCAATAAGCCCGGCTAAAAATGATTTGAAGAATTCAGAGATCAAATGTTCATTTTTACTTTCCTTTCTGCATTCGGGACTAAATAGGAAATGAAATTTTATTGTTTGTTTAGTAGAAATTAGAATATTAATAATCATATGCTTACCATACCTCGTCAAAAGTAGAATGTGTGACCTACCATGCCTACGGGAGGTTATCCATCAGAGTAAAAAAATAAATTTTACCATTAGAAAAAATAACTCTATGGCACCTGATCGTACCTCTGATGTTTCGGGGGTCCGTGTTTGCTCTGCTCCTATTTTGTATTCAATTTGTTTTATGGACTTCGATATTGAATACTGTTCGTTATCTCCATATCCTTCTCCATCAATATTCTGTTTCTTTATTTCCATGAAGTACACTGTATTCGAGGGGTGTTCAATAAATAATGCCCTGAACTGTATGACATACAGTACAGATATCATATGACATTCAGCTTGATTTTTTCACTTTATTGGATCTTAATGAATTTTTGTGACCACTTTTCATCACAAAGTTCCATCGTGTGAAGCTTGAAAACAAGGGCTATTCGAGACACTGCATTACAAATGAATTTTAAAGAATCGGTGAACTAGAGTAAAAGTAAACACTTCATTTAAGCTGCTGTAAAACTTGTCAAGAATTCCAAAGAAATATTCACTGGAATATGTAAATTTTACTGCAACCAATTTCTGTTTTAAGGACAAATGAGCAGATGGATTTCAATGATAAAAATTATATAATGGGCATCAAAAACGGGTAACGTCCTTGCCAACAAAAATTATAGCAAATAATGTACTGTTTGCCAAATTTCAACAAATAATCACTGATGTATGGATGAATTTAAGACACATAGCAAATTTGATAGACATCATTTCGGGAGTAGTTCACACTGTTTTAAAGAAATGTTTGACAGTAAAAAAGCTAAGTACTCGAAGGTCACCATAGGTTTTGAAAAATGAGTAAAAACGACAGCGTGTAAGAATGTTATCCACGTTTGTTTGAAATTCAAACAGATAATGAACCTTGAATCTATTGCTTCAAATCCTCAAAACAAAATTTACAGTAAGATGTACTCGAGTACATGCATCGTCATTATGATCATTATTTTCTCCATATAACACTCTCTCGGCCTGTCCTATGGCCTCGCTGAGTGATTCCTGCGGGCCCTGCTGAGCACTTTTAACCTCACTTTCACTTCCATTACTCTGGGTTTTTCGCTTCTTCGACTTTTCTCCCATTTTCTCCTCATCACCACCAAATCTTTTGGTAATACATTCCACTTAATATGCAAACAAGTTTGTTGCTAACTATTAAACAAAAATTCCAAAGGTATAAAGCCTCGTCAAGTTAATCACATAGGTTTTTTGCGGAGCCCCTGAAAAACACGTCCGTCCACCGGAACGGTCACTCAAAAGGTCTTTTCAAGTTTTTCTTTGGAAGAAACATTCTTTTAATTTTACTCGAATCTTACTGAGTGTGGCCTGCATTACCTTTGCTTCAATATTTTTTGACAATTTTTTGTTCACTGTACCAACTGCTCACAACCAGGAATCGTGTCAATCTCTTTTTTACTATGCCCCCGTAAACGAAGTTTCGGGGGTATATAGTTTTTCTCGTGTCCGTCTGTCTGTCTGTCTGTCTCTCTGTCTGTTTGTCCGTAAAAACTTTAATCTTGCCTATAACTTTTGATTTAGTGAAACTATGACATTCATATTTCACAAGTGTATTCCTTGTGACAAGACCTTTTTTTTGGTACCACCAAATTTGACCTTTTGACCTTGACCTTGGAGTTTGAATCACTTTAACACGAAAAATTTGAACTTTTACTTTGGCCATATCTTCTGAACAATAGATATCAGGACATTTATACTAAGCTTATGTATTATTTGTGGAAAAAAACTTTCATTGGATACCAACAACCTTAACCTTTTGACCTTGACCTTGGAGATTTCCGTACCTATGAAAAAACTTCAACCTTGGCTATAACTTTTGAACGGTAAGGGCCAGCGCTTTGTAAAGTCAATTAATCAAAAAAGCGGTTAATTACATAATTTACAATTATTTCTTGATT